AAGATGTTAATTTCCCCTAAATTGATCTATAGGTTTAACACAATTGCTATCAAAATCCCAGCAGGATTCTTTGTGGATACAGACAAGCCGATTCTAAAATTTATATGGAAAGGCAAATGAAATAAAATAGCCAAAAGAGTTTGGAAAAAGAAGCCTAGAATTGGTGGAGCCACACTACAAGGTTTCAAGACTTACTGTATTGCTGCAGGAATCAAGACAGTGTGGCATTGGCAGAGGGAGAGACAAGAGATCTCAGGAACAGACAAGAGCAGCCCGATGTAGACTGACAATAGGCTTTTCTTTTTTTTTCTTTTTTTCCTTTTTGTCTTTTTTCGTGATCGGTAACGGGATCGCAACCCTCGGTGTTGCGCCCGCACCGCGCTCAACCAGTGAGTGGACCGGTCTCTATATGGGATCCAAACCCTTGGCGGGAGCGCCGCACTCTACCGAGTGCGCCAACGGGCCGGCCCGACAATAGGTTTTTCAACAAATGGTGTTAGAACGATCGGACATTCGTAGGTAAAGAAGTAAACTTTGACTTAGACTTCACACTTTATACAATAATGAATTCAAAAGGGATCATAGATCTCAATGTAAAGGTAAAACTATAACATTTTTAGAAGAAACACATGGGGAGATCTACATGATCTAGGGTTAAAGCTAGGGGTTCATAGACATGAAACTAAAGCACAATCCATGAAACAAAATCAATAAGCTGGGGTCCATCCGATTTTTAAACTTCTGGCTTCTATTTCTTGAATGGAGTGGGAGCTCCATGGACCTGCTCTGCAGAGAAACACAGTCAGCCTTCAGGATCTGTGAGTTCCACATCTGCAGATTCAGCGAACTGCAGGTCGAAAATATTAGGGAAAGAGGAAAAAAAGCTCAATAAAAAAATAACATGGGCTGGCCAGTTAGCTCACTTGGTAGAGTGTGATGCTGATAATCCCCTACCAGCCAGCCACCAAAAAATGACAATTGTCAAAAACAATACAACAAGAAGAAATAATGCAAATGAAAAATACAGAAGAACAGCTACTTCCATCGCATTTACATTGTACGAGGGCACTTCAAAAAGTTCGCAGAAAAATGGAATTAAAAGATAATATGAGTCCTTCCATGAACTTTCTGAAAACCGTTCATATTAGGTATTATAAGTAATCTAAGATGGTTTAAAGTGTATGGAGGATATGCATAGGTTCTATGCATATCTTACGCCATTTTATATCAGGGACCTGAGCATCCACGGATTCTGGTATCCACAGTGGGGGGGTGGAACCAATCCCCCGTGGATTCCGAGGGACAATATAACCGTAACTGGTGAAAATTTTGAACAACCAACCACTGAGGTCTCTGGAACTTGTCCTGGGGCATACAACAAATGAAGAAACATCCTTCCAACAGATGCACCAAGTCTCGGGAAGAGCAGGGAAGTCGAAGCATTTGAAACACGGCCTGCTCCCTGCCTCCCTTCTCCGCCACTGTGAAGGAGTGGTGCTGCTGGGGGGCTGTGGCCCAGAGCTCAGGCTCTCCTGTCCTCAGCTCCCAGTCAAGGGCTATGGTGTCTCCCTGGAGGGGCCGGCTGCCAGCATTTCCCACCCAGCTCTGAGCTGCAATAGCTTCTGGGTGAGTGTGACAGAGGCTGCCTTCACACAGCCCCCTAGAGGGCAGGGGCTGTGCTCAGGTGCCCTCACCCAGCTTACACCAAGGGTGGAGGCCCCGTGCTCAGGGAGGCCAGCTGGGAGGAGCAGAGGCGACTGCCTGGCCAGGTCAGGCAAGGAACAAAGAGGAGGCTGGCAGCTCATCAGAGCCTCGAGCTGGCTGGTGGCCTGCCAGGTCACTGGAGAGTGACAGCAAAGAAGAACCCACCTGAGCCAGAACAGGCCTCCTAGATTTGCCTCCAAAGCCACCTCTGTAAAGAAGCCCTCATTTAATTGGCTCAGAAGTAGAGAAATTTTTTTTTTTTTTTTTTTTTTTTTTTTTCCGTG